CAATAATAAAAATAATAAAAGGAAAAAATACACTTAATTGCTTTTAAATATGATTTTTATTAGTCATTTAATGTGAAATAACAACTACTAATCATTATATACTTAAACAATTATGTCAATCATAATTTACTATTTACTATCTACTAGTTATTTTTCGATATTTGTTACTCGCTACATGCTAACTTTACCCATTACTCACTATCGTTATATGTTAGATTTTAATCATTATACCAATAATACCTAAATCAAGCAAACAAAATATAATGTGGAAATGAATGAGTAAGAAGAGAAACTCATTCTATTTATAGAGGTTTAGGACTAAATGCCAAGTCCAAAATGCTTAGGGAACCATTTCACATTAAAGATAAAATTAATTTCTAATTTTTTATGATTCTTTTGAAGCAGTGTATTAAATAATGACAATTCAATTTTGTGTTTGTATATATTGAAAAAGCTAGATAAATGTAATACTCCTCTTTAATTTGCATTACTTTTATCTTAGTCATACCTAAACTCTACGACTTTTAACATGGTATCATCCTTTTTTCATTTCTTTTTTTTTAATCTATAACCAAAATCATAAACTTTAATCGCCTGAAGAATTGTTTGTCGTGCAGGTTGAATTTCCAAACTTAGAGGAGTTGCAATTATCTTGGATTAATGTTAACATCATATGGCATGCTTCGATGACATCTTCTTATTTTGAGAAATTGACGAAGTTGATCATTGAGCACTGTGATAATTTGGAATATCTATTCACATCTCCTATGGCTAGAGATTTGGTAATGCTTGAACACCTTCAAATACAGGGATGCAAGAAGATGAGAAAGGTTCTTTTTACAGAGAATGAAGAAGAAAATAGGAATTTGATTTTCCCTCAATTGAGGATTCTAGAGATAAAAAGCCTTCCAAAACTCGAAGGATTTTGTCATGGGAATCGGATCAAATTCCCCTGCCTTTCGCGACTTTTGATCATGAGCTGCCCTGAATTAAAGACATTCATCTCATCAAGCTCTAGTGTTGACAATTGTACACCTCCTCTATTTGACAGGAAGGTAGTTTCATCTTTCCGGATTTTCTTTATTTTTCACTTATTAATGTCTTGTAATACTATTTCATGGATCGCCTCATAAGGTTTTACATTCTTTTGGAAATTAGATTCCAAAAATTCTTCATTCCATTATCTCTCTTATTCTATTTATTTTTTTTTAATACAATTTGCTAAATTTTTAGGTGACATTCCCCAAGCTTGAGGAACTAATGATTAAATTTATGGAAAACTTGGAGAAGATATGGGACAACCAACTTGATGCAAGTTCTTTTTGCCAACTAAATTATCTTAGTGTGAATTCATGTAACAAGCTACTAAATATTTTTCCATTTAGTATGCTGGAAAGGCTTCAGAGACTAGATAAGTTAGAGATGTGGAGCTGTCATTCACTTGAAGAGATATTTGAGTCTCAAGGGCTTGATGTTGGCCAATCACAAACTCAAAAATTCACGCCACCATCTTTGATGGAATCTGTTGCAAAGTTTGAGTTTCCAAAATTGACACAGCTAGATCTTTATTTTCTGCCCAAATTGAAGGCCTTATGCCATCAAATGCATACAGCTGAATGGCCATCATTGAAAAAATTGAATGTGTGTGGATGCAAACAAGTACAGATATTTGCTTCCGAACTCTCAAGCTTCCCAAGAACAAATGGAGATGACCAACTAGAAGTTGATAGTAAATATTCCCTTTTCTGGACAGGCAAGGTAAGAGTTCTAAACAATAATTCAAAACAAGTTTGCTCAGGTGTATGATGCACTTGCATTAAATTAAAGCGCTTCTCCTGTCTGAACATATTCATAAGCATAATCTATAATACTCTTTGTTTTCTTTCTTTATGGGCTGCTTAAGAAAACCAAACT